TTTTGGTAAAGAGTAGGTGTGTATGACGCATTTTTTAGCACATTTAATTACCTACTGGCAAACCTATACTAGGTCGTTTCATAAAAAAGTTCGTTTTTTTCCACAAAGAAATTTTTTAAGAAAAATCGATAAATCACTAACAAAATCAAACAAATAAAAAATCTAACTGAACTAAATAATTGCCCCGAGTCTTAACAACATTTTTAAAACAAAAAAGAAGTTTATGGTTACCCCTTTTAAAAAAATCTGACCCCATTTCTGAAGCACTGTCTTCCCCACCGCAGTCTCGACCTTAGCGTCTTCTTTCAAGTACCCTTCCCGTAAAAAAATTTTTAGAGAAGTGAAATGATGTTAATCTGATAGAGCAGACTCAGGGCTACAAGGGGGTGGGGTAACACTTTCCAACAAAGTTTATTTGGGGTATGGCAGGTCGTCAAAAATTAGCGGTGTAAAGGAGCGTTATTTTAATGGAAAACCAGAGGTCTAGTAAACAGTCCCTGGCGACGTTGAAGGTAACAAACGAAATCTTCCTGGGTGAGTTAGTTAATATGCATGTTGGAGTTTGTAGTGGTACCAATTTGAAGTAGCTCCGACATCAACGGACCGAGCACCGTCCAAAAGAACACACAACATACGTTTTTTGGGTAGTTGGTTGGGCGGGGGACCAAAAGAGGGTCTTAATATTTTTTCCTCCAGACAATTTTTGCATATTATTATCGTAATTGGCATATGTTTAAACTTAGGTAACAATCCGGTTCCATGAACAACCCTTTCGATAGTTATCCAGGCTTGAAAGGCAAAGAAAAAGTCCTTGTTATTTTTGTCTCTTAGTCGGTTGGTGCATTACTCTTTTTGTCCTCCTCGGCCCGCGATCCGTTTTTTCGAACAAATGCCATGATGTACTTATAGAGGAATGTCCCCGCTACAATTCTAATAAAAAAATATCCGGATATCATACTAACCGGCGAGCAAGGACGCGTTTGTTTACAGTCGGTCGTCTTCACGACCCATGTTTACGTTTGGTCCTGCCGCTCCCTGAACAAAATTTTTTGAAATATTTTTGAGCTGCACTAGGTTAGACCACATCCTTGCCTAGTGTTTCATTAATTTTTCTTGCTTCCAGCTTTACATTATTACTTTGTTTTAATGGGATGTGTAAATGCTCCTAAATAAAACCCTTACCCACGCTCATTTCTGAAGGCATAGAAATTTTTTGGTCTTGTCTATTTTTAAAATTTTAGTATCATTATGAAGCTAAGACTTTGGGCTACAAAATAAGATAAAAACAAAATCGGATGAAAATAGTTATCTCACAAAAAACACGCGATAACAAAAAACGAACTTTTTTATGAAACGACCTAGTAAAATATCGAAAATCTCTTTCTTCTGTCTTTTTAATTGCCGATGATTTTCGTTTGAATCGACGTAATAGTTAGGAAGTCGCCTCCCTTTTTTTTATTTTTCCCTATTTTCTTTTTAACATTTTGTGGCAACTTATATGTCATTCGAAAGTGCCCTTCGTGCTGAGTGAATGACATTAAAGTCAACGAAATCTGATTATTAATTTACTCTTTCAATTTATTAGAGCAGAATGAAATTCGACGTCATATTAATAGACAATTTTCAATTAGAGGACATTCTCTTAGCAAGGACACTTTATCCTACCTGGTTGATCAATTAAAAGATATGTATGGGACGTGAACAATATCAGAAAACGATGGCCAAAGTTATGGAATTGGTAGAAAAGGAGAATGGTTCGTTTAAATTTTATAGAATTTTCTAAAATAATTTTTAAAGTCGATTCTAGTTTGTTGGACTTGAATTTACTCAAAAACGTCTTGAAAGTACTCTCAAGACAACAGAAGAATGAAAGGTTAATTTCTTTGTAAGATGAACTTTAAAACTTATTTTTCTGCAGTGGAATTAATTTCAAATTAGAAAATGCCTTTAAATTGTTCTCTAGGTTTTGAAAGCTTTTTATCGAATTCTTGATAGTTTTTCATCCAATCCACCAAACGTTTTTGTCCTTTGTGACCTTTTTTGAGCGTCCAAAGGGCTTATGGATATACTGATCAGAGTATTACAGCTTTCCGTCATTTGGCCAACATTCTTTCACATTTTTCTACAATTTATTTAAATTCGGTATAAATTTTTAAATTTTTTAGGATAAATTTTTGAAAATTTCATTTATAAGGAACCTTTTCCTGACGTGGTGCGAACTTTGCGGACCCGAAATTTGCGGAACGAAAGTTGCGGACCCGAAGGTTGCGGACACGAAGTTTGCGGACCTGATCTTTGCGGAACCAAGATTTTAGGACCGACACTTGAGTAAAAAGGAAAAATTAAAAATTTTATTTTTCGAGGATTCCGGCAGAGTTTATCATGATCCGTACTAGATCAAGATTTTTTCTTGATTTTTCAAAATTTTTATCAGTTTTCCATCTTAAAATTATTTGATAATTTAAATAATCGAGAAAATTCCTTAAAAAATCATTCATATGGCCATTTCATAAGGTCATGATGCTTGAATTTATCCTAATTAACGCCGCAGGCTAAAATTTTTGAAATTTCCTAGGTTCAGTAGACTCTATTGTCGGTCCGCAAATTTTTGGTCCGCAAATCTCAGATCCGCAAAATTCGGGTCCGCATAGTTCGGGTCCGCAAAGTTCGGGTCCGCAAATTTCGGGTCCGCAAACTAAAATCCGCAAATTTCGGCGCGCCTTTCCTGAACCTTTTCCGATAATCTTCCCGTTTTTAAAAATGATTTGCCGCTTTTATTTAATTATTCTCCCGCGTGAACAAATTTTTTGGCATTTAGAATTAATGGTATTTGAGTATGAATTTTTTATGGGTAAAAATTAATGGGTAAAAGGATTTTACCCGTTAATTTTTACCCATAAAAAATTTAGTAAAAGCCTAGTTAAAAAATTAATTTTTGGCTTTTATGTTTTAGATTTTTTGGTTAATTTTAAATTAATTTTTAAAATTCATTTTCAGATTAAATTCTTAAAAATATGAGCTTTGCTAATTCTATTCCATCAATTATTCCGTCCTCATCAACATTAACATCTCCAATTATAACAACTTGTGAAAATATTAATGAGACCTCTTCACCTTACAAACAAGACAATCAACAACAACAACAAAACAATTTAAATCAGACTAGAAGTTCCCCAACATCTGTGGGAACACCAAAAGAAAATTCTTCTGGTACTGGAAAGCAGCCACCATCAAAAAGTTATTGTATTTTGACTCCTTGTAGCAATTCTCATCCTTTTGAAGAGCGAAGGTTTTTTTGTGGATTTTTAGTACATTTTATTTTTTTTAAAGAATTCTTGTTGGACGATCAGAAGAAAATGCTGTCAGAATTGGGCGTTCTATCGTTAGACTTCAACCAGCACATAGCAATGCTATTTTTGATTGTAAAGTGCTTTCAAGGAATCATGCAATTCTCTGGTTAGTTTTTTTGTTGGATTGGAAGTTGATAGGGGTAGGAGAAGATTATTTCGTTCTGATCGGTTATGGGATTTTTTTAACCTTGATTTTGTGGTTTTAACAGAAAAATTATTTTGGAGCTTCGTTACCATAGTTCTTTCATTTTTATCTTAAATAATTTTCAAAGCTTCTGGGGCTCTCCCAATCTTTATGAATAATACCATGATAGAATCATTTTACTGTAATAAAATCTTTAAAAATTCAAGGATGAATGATGACGTCCATTTCTTTATTAAAGACACACGAAGTTCAAATGGCACTTTTATAAATAATGATCGATTGAGTCCAAGTGGAGAAGAAAGTATAATAATTTTTTTAAATATTTTCTTATTCAAAAAATTATTTTAGGTGAACCAAGAGAGCTCTTTTCTGGTGACATTCTTCAACAAGGAGTTGAAATTGTGGATAATGCAAAGAAAGGTTTTTTAAAGTGTTTTTAATTTTTATATTTTTTTGTTAAAGTCGCTAGTGGATGTGTTACTTGTATTGTACGTTTGACAAATGAGAGGGGTGAAGAATATGTTGATAGACCTCAATTGGACTCTTTTGCTTTTCCCATTCGAAATGAAAATCAAATTCCATTAAATTACACTTTGGTTAGAAATGACAAATTATTTATTTTTGAACAATATTTGAAAGAAGCAAAACACAGAGAAAATGTAAAGAAAATGTTTGTTTTAAAATAATTTTATTGTTTTTTAGCTTCTCGGTCAAAAGCTTCAAACAATCGAAGGTCAACTCTTAACTGCACAAGAAGAACTTCAGGCAAAATGGGATGAACATATCAACCAGGTTTTAAATTTTAATAATCAATTTTGAGAATAATTTATTTAGGTAAGGGTTTTTATCTAGGTAACGCTGTCGGTTCCTGTCCAAATTTTTTGCTAGCAAGGAAACATTCCGAACTTTATGTGAAATTTTCGTAACTTTTTTGCACCATCATGTAGAGCAAGTATACTCAAGCGGTCTAACTTTGAAGCTATAACTTTTCGGCTTGGGGATCAGGGCCAAGAGAGCAAAAACTGGCAATAGGTTATTGACCTGCTCTACATGATGGTGCAAAAAAGTTACGAAAATTTCACATAAAGTTCGGAATGTTCCCTTATAAGCCTTAAATATTTTGAAATCAATCCATGAATATTTGAGATGGCATTATCTAAATCTCTTATTTCCCATAATAATCGATTCCGTATTTCATAAAAAATAAAAAATTTTTTAAAGGAACTTCTTCTTTCTCGTATTGAACTTCTTGAATCTCAATTATTAACTTATCTTAACGCTAAAAACGCTGTATCGCCCAAAAATGCCCAAACTGCCTCTACTAACTGTGTAGAAAAAGAAGAGGAAGTGAATCAATTAAAACGAGAAATTCGAGAATTAATTGAAGACAGAGCAAAGTCTGAACAATTGGCTAAAGAGTCGATTAGGTTTTTTAAATTTTTTTCAATGAATTAATTTAAAAAAATTTTTTTAGGAAGAAATGCGAACAAATTCAGGAAGCGACAATGCGTTTGAATGATGTGGAGATGGGTTTGGTAAATGTGGAGGAGGAGTGCGCCTTTCTTCGACAGCGTTGTTCAGATTATGACTTGCAATTAATCAAGCAAAGAGACAATTATGATATGCTTATGGGGAAGTATAATGAGGTTAGTTGATAGTTTAGTTTTTGGTTAGTTGTAGGTTTGGTTGATTCTAGAAACTCCTGGATTCGATATCCAAAACGAAGATTTCGGATGTTAGGACTTTTTCAGATCCGAATCCGCCAACCCTAGATTGGTGTGTTTAAGGGAAAATTGGCATGAAAATCATTTTTAATTTTGTGAGTGTTTACGAATTTTTAACTTTATTTTTTTTTTTGGATTTTTTACAAAACCAGCCTTATTTTTTTAGGTCTGTGCTCAACTAGTTACGGCAGAAAAGGCTGCTGCTAGTGCCGAAAAACCTCTTCAACAACCCTATTTTCTTGGTACTCTTGTGTTATATGCCCCCATTTTTTATGTCCCCCTTTTCTTCTTCTTACATTCTAATGCCTTCATTTCTAATTGCTATTTGGATTAGAAAATGGAAAGGCAATTGATGGGCAGGGATTAAATCCAATCACAGCGTCATTCTTTCAGTTTTTGTTTTTAAAATTGATTAAAATTTAAAAATTCAGCTCGACGAGCTTTTTCGAATGAGCTATCATTTGTTTAAACTATTTATTTCAAAAATTTCCTATGGTCTCTTAATTTTCAGGGTCTGTATCTCGGCCAAATCAAGTAGGATTTTTCGATTTTGGTGTTATTCGGCTCAGCTCGACGAGTTCCTCATGAAAAATAAGGAGAAAGTGAAGGAAAAATGGAAAAATCTGAAATCAAATTTAAAAAACAAAAACTGAAAAATGACGCTGTGTCTTGAATTAATCCTTGCCCATCGATTGTCTTTGGCCATTTTTTAATCCAAATACGTAGTAATTAGAAATGAAGGCATAAGAATGAAAGGAGAAGAAAAGGGGGAACATAAAAAATGGGGGCATATAACACCAGAGTACCGTTTTCTTTTATATAGCCATTGATTGGGTTCTAATAGAATAAAATACTTCTGTTCTTCACGATAAGTTTATTGCTAATCGAATGGGAATGATTCCTTTAACTTCTGATGGACTTGTGGATAGAATGCATTCATTATACAAGAGTTTGTTTGGTAATTGTTCGGTTCGTACCCCCTACTCTTTTTTCCTTACTGAAAATATTAAAAAATGGTCAGTCAGTCTTAGATTATAGAACTCGTCGAGCTGTGTCGAATGACACCAAAATGAGCTTGGTCCATTCTTTTATTTTTCAATTTTCGGGGGTCTGTATCTCGGCCCAAAGTTAAGACCTGGGGTTGATTTTGGTTTCATTCGACACAGCTCGAAGAGTTCAATAACTTAAGACTGACTGACCATTTTTTAAAACTTTCAGTAAGGAAAAAAGAGTGTGGGGTACGAACCGAACAATTACTGTTTGTTTATTTTGGATTTTTTAATGTAGAAATCTTATAGGATTGTACTTGTTCTGAGTTTTGTTCCAATTGCTCTATCCAATTTGAATTGAATGTTCGATGTGACGAGGATACGACTAGAGCTGTTACTTCGGATGACCTAGAGTCAAATAACATTGAGGTTTGTTGATATTTGTTTTCTTTTGGGTGGGATGAAATAGTATATTTTGGTGGCATTACAATTAGTTATCCCAACTTTTTGCGGACTTTTTTTTTTAATTTGGAAGTTTTTCTCTATTTTCCTCCTTGTATCACTAGTTGAAGAGGACGTTTTTGAGGAAATGCTTACTTGGTGGCATATTGGTCGGCGGATTATTTCTTTTATGTATAATTTTGAAAATTGAATTTGTCCGCAAAAAAAGTTCGTAGTGATAACGAATTTGTACCGTTGGGTAATGTTAATATTTATAAGGAAGCAATGAAAATTTAGTGAAATTTATATAAATATTTATTTTAACAAGTTTAAATTCATTTGAAGGTTGTTCCGGCTTGTGGTTCTTATGCAAATCGCGATACTCTTGAAATGGATGGAATTTCTGATGAAATTTTGATTGTTAAACTTCGAAAAGGTTTATTTAATAATCAACCGAATTTTAACCTTAGCAAAAATTTTAGGACAAGCCATTTCAATGCGCTGTTTTGCCAAGAAAGGATTTGGAAAAGAACATGCCAAATGGAATCTTTGTTCATCCGTTGCATTTGAATATGATCCAGTCAATGCTCTTCGTCACACAGTTTTAGCAAAACCGGAAGAATGGCCAAAAAGCGAATTTAGTGAATTATTAAATGAAGATGATCAACGAGAGGCTCCTTATCGCCCAATGGACAAACCAAGGAAATTTTGGATTAGTGTGGAAAGTGCTGGGGCTTTAAAGGCAGAAAATATTATTTTGAGTGGAATTCAAGCTTTAAAGAAGAAATTGGTGGATTTGCAACAACAATTGAAAGCAATGCTCCTGAATTCTATTGAAGAAAAGAGATTGGTTTATTTATTTTTGTGGTAATAATATTTGTAATATTTTATTGGTAATATTCGAGTTATACTTTCAAGGGAATAAGTTCTATTTCAAAATTAGGTAAAGTAAACTCACTGTCATCCTTAGGGTTGTTCCACAAAGAGGGTGGGGGGCGGACGAGGAATTTTCAGAGAATAAATTCCTCATCTTTCAGGGGCGGGATATAACCTTAATTTCATTTCCTTTCTCTTTAAATCGAAATTTCGACCATTCTTGGCCCTGAGCAAGCAGTATATTTAAAATTACTTACAAGCAAACATACCAAACTGTGAGTCAAAATTTTGTATTATTTTTGGTACCAATCGATAGAGCATCATCGATTTACTCTAGAAAATTTTCGGCTTTTTTGGCTAGGAATATGAAACTAAAAAGCTACAGGGCTTCAAAGTTTGCCAAAAATAGGGGAGAAAAGGAACACAAGAGGACGGTGCTACTGTAGATCTGGGAAGATAGGCAACGCTGAGGAAAAAAAGAAGAGAAAGGAAAAGGGTCAGCAACGTGAAAAATTCAAAACGGTCAGTCGCTGTAAAAGAAAAGAGAAAAATAGAAATGGTCAGTGGGGGAAATTTCTCTCATTTATAAGGGAGTCTCAAGCGTTCCTAATTTTCGCAAACTTTGAAGCACCATAACTTTTTAGTTTCATATTCCTAGCCAAAAAAGCCGAAAATTTTCTAGAGTAAATCGATGATGCTCTATCGATTGGTACCAAAAATAATACAAAATTTTGACTCACAGTTTGGTATGTTTGCTTGTTAGCTTAAAACTTTACAGTTAAAAACATTTTATTACAAAATGTTGTTTATTAAACAAAAAATTTTAACAGAATTTTGATGTTCCGATTAATTTATTATCTGTTGATGTAGTTTCACTTCCTTCACTTCTTCTAGTGGAAGGACTTCTGTTACGACCCCGCTTACGTAGAGGACGATAAAAAATACTTTATCACACGCACGAAATACAATGAAGGTTGTGGTAGGAAGAATGGACAGGTGAAGAGATTCCGAATTAACTAATGGCTGGCTTTTATAGTAAACACTCTAAGGGCTGACGCCCATACACAACACCTCCCCCCTTGAAAAAAAGGTTCGAGTTTTACTTAAAGCCGAAACTTTACAATATACTTACACTTTTTGCCAGCCAGCAACAAAATAAATACATAAACCTATTTTAGGGAAATGGGGTATTTTAGGGAATTTTAGGGAAATGGACTATTTATTTTTAATATTTTCGCTGTTATTTTTATTCAACTTTTCTCTAACTTTTCATTTTTCCAAAAAATTGTTTTCCAAATTTTTCTCGTTTATTTGAATTTTTAGAATTCTTCCATTTTAACATTGATTTTAATTTTTATTTTTAGCTGAATTTTTTATCTTCTCATTTTTTACTTTTAAAGAAATTTGTCGAGTATGTTTGTTCCATGTTTTCATTATTTTTTCATCTATTTGATTTTTATGAATTATTCCAATTTAACTTTGCTAAAAGATTTTGATTGCAGATTTTAATTTTTATTTTTAGCTGAATTTTTTATCTTCGTATTTTTCACTTTTAAAGAAATTTGTCGAGTATGTTTATTCCATGTTTTCATTATTTTTTCATCTATTTGATTTTTGTGAATTATTCCAATTTAACTTTGCTAAAAGATTTTGATTGCAGATTTTAATTTTTATTTTTAGCTGAATTTTTTATCTTCGTATTTTTCACTTTTAAAGAAATTTGTCGAGTATGTTTATTCCATGTTTTCATTATTTTTTCATCTATTTGATTTTTTTGAATTATTCCAATTTAACTTTGCTAAAAGATTTTGATTGCAGATTTTAATTTTTATTTTTAGCTGAATTTTTTATCTTCGTATTTTTCACTTTTAAAGAAATTTGTCGAGTATGTTTATTCCATGTTTTCATTATTTTTTCATCTATTTGATTTTTTTGAATTATTCCAATTTAACTTTGATAAAAGATTTTGATTGCAGATTTTAATTTTTATTTTTAGCTGAATTTTTTATCTTCGTATTTTTCACTTTTAAATAAATTTGTCGAGTATGTTTATTCCATGTTTTCATTATTTTTTCATCTATTTGATTTTTTTGAATTTTTCCAATTTAACTTTGATAAAAGATTTTGATTGCAGATTTTAATTGGCTCCATGACTTTTCGACAACAGACGTTTCGACAATGGACTTTTCGACAAGACTTTTCGACAATGAACCTTTCGACAATAGATGTTTCGACAATGGACTTTTCGACAATAAATTAACATTTTTTAAAATGATTTAAAAATGAAAAATATTTTCATTTTATTGAGCAAGATGATATGAAATCGAACGTAAGTATCGTAATGGATCGTTTGCTCGCTGTGCAAAGTCGGCAAAAATTTGTTGAAGGTTTCTATCTTGGTTAAGATACACGGTTTTTCTTTTAATACCTTTGCCGCGAATGCCATTGCCAGGCGAATTGTTATAATCAGCAACAATGTGCTCCCATCTTGCGAACTCCTTCAGCATACGCTTAACAAATTTGCTGAACAAAGGTTTCCTTTCGAGAAGAGAGCCCCATATGTTATGCCACGATTCAACTGAATTATTACTCCGCGATAATCCATCTTGGAGACGATGGCAGAGGTTCCATAGCTATTTAGAAAAAAGACTACGAGTGATTTATTATAAATATACTTCAATTGGATAAAGAGAGTTACGATGCTGCATTCCCTCATGCTCAATCCAAGCACGAACCCAATCATCGCAACCACCTCCTTCCTGATCAGGTTGAATTTGTGGATGTGCAAGGACATAGGCTGGTCCAATATATGTTAAGATGAAATATTTTACTAGTTCTTTAAAAATAATTGATTTGGAAATTTATACAAATTTACCCAAAATTTCTATCTCAGGAGGACCCATAAGTGCATCTATGACAATGCAGAAAAATCTATATACTTCATTTACGGGGACGAAGGCAAGTGCTTGAAGTGATCGGAACAGATGTTTATCATTCACATTTTCTCTGTAGCGAGTATTTAGTCCAGGCAAAGATTGTATCCGTCTATAAATAGAGTTCCCAAGGTGATAAGAGCATCCTTAATTTATTTCTTAAAACAAGTTATCCAAAATATAAACCAGTAATAACAGCCTGAGGAAAGGATTCACGCACCGCAGAGATTTCTGCAGTTTCGAAGTCACATAGAACTCGATTAGGTGCCCATTGATTTATACGATTCATTATTTCCCCAAATACTCTGGCATAGCCTTGAATGTGCTTTGTTGGGAGACACGCAAATATACACGGAATAGCACAGAAATCAACAACAACATGTACGGTAAAAAGTTGTTCAAATCCACGAGGGGCTGTCTAAAAATGACAGAATTTGTGTTTTTGTGTGTTTTAAAAAGAATTAAACAATACGTACTTTGAACGTACCATCTATCGCTATTTCATTACGATAGACATTAAGCATGTTCAACGCACCAGGAGTGGCAAATACAATTAGTTTTCGTAATTGTCCTGCAATTTGAATATTTTCATTCAAAATCACATTAGGTTCTAGATGCTGAGGAATGATAATTTCAAGCGGATTTAAAGCGTCTAATCCAAGATCGCCAACTCTTCTGCAGCCTTGCGTTTTTCACGTTGAAACTTCTTTACCATTGATGAGCTAGACGGGGCATAAATTCTTGCCTCCTCTGTAAGAGCAGCTCTTGCCATATCGATGGCATCTCTTGTTTTCACAGGGTTTGGATCACCAGCCAAATTTTTTAAACGCTCAAAAGCATTACGAATCTAAAATAAATTAAAATGCAAAAGCATTATTCGAGTAATACTTCCTGTTTATATGGTTCTGCATTGTGATTGTGATTTTCATTTTTAATCCAGCCAATTTTAAATCGAACCCCATCATTCTCGTGCCATGGAGAATGTACATATATTCGCCCTGCACAATAAGGTGGCCGCTAAAATAATAAACTACTAGTAATAATCCCATTATATAATTGATAAGTCTACGGAAGATACTGTACAGTTTGTTAAGCTTACTTTTATGAATCTCCAATACTCAACATTTTCGTTTATGGCTGAATTCTTTTCGAAAGAATACTCGAATCCATCTCGAGTTAGAAGTGGGTATCCCCTCTTCGACTTAACCTCTACAAAATTAAGCATTTCAATCTGATCATTTACAGAGTTATTCGAATTGTCGGAGCTACTATATTGACCATCTTCTGACGACGAATTTTCCATATTCGGGGCAATAGTAAAAGAAATTGGAATGAAAAATAATTTGTAACAAAAATATTACATTTAAAATAAATATAGGACCAGATGCTACAAACTTAATAAATACCCCAAATTTTGGATAGTTTTTTCTTTACAACACCCATTCAAATTCCACCTAGAACATATTTCTTTTTTTTTCTTTTTAAAAACATTTTTTAACTTTTTATATTTATATTGTTTATACAAAAGACAGACAGTAAACAACTAAAGCTTTTGTCTTCACTTATTTTCATATCAACACATTTATCATTTTAAAAAATGTTAATTTATTGTCGAAAAGTCCATTGTCGAAACATCTATTGTCGAAAGGCTCATTGTCGAAAAGTCTTGTCGAAAAGTCCATTGTCGAAACGTCTATTGTCGAAAAGTCTTTTGTCGAAACGTCGGGCCACCATTTTAATTTTCATTTTTAGCTGAATTTTTTATCTTTTCATTTTTCATTTTTAAAGAAATTTGTCGAGTATTTTTATTTCATGTTTTCATTATTTTTTCATCTATTTGATTTTTTTGAATTATTCCAATTTAACTTTGCTAAAAGATTTTGATTGCAGATTTTAATTTTTATTTTTAGCTGAATTTTTTATCTTCGTATTTTTCACTTTTAAAGAAATTTGTCGAGTATGTTTATTCCATGTTTTCATTATTTTTTCATCTATTTGATTTTTTTGAATTATTCCAATTTAACTTTGATAAAAGATTTTGATTGCAGATTTTAATTTTTAT